GCAGTCCTGCCCTGGAGCCCAGCTAGAGAAACTAGGAAGTGCCCACTCCCCTTTCCCCCCTTTCCCTCCACACACCCGCCCCAGACTTCCTCAACCCTCCCAACAGGCAGCCTGACATTCTGCATACTCCCCATGCCCATGAACACCCCAGCCTGTGCGTGCACCCGCTGCCTTGAACCCTTCCTTGCCTTGGCCCAGGTTGTTTGGGGACCAAGGCTTTCTTTTGATTTTCACTCAGCCCCCTGATTTTCACTCATGCAGCTGACAGAAAAACCCAGGAAGACCCAGGCAGGGAGTGGGGTGGGTGATTGGGTCACCTTATCTAACTTTCCAGCATCTTTAGCTCTGGAGGGCACCTGAGCTACCCCCAACTCCTACTGTGGGTGCTTGACATGTAGTAGACACGTTTGCATAATACCTGCAGATCATTTGTTTTTTCCTCAGTTCTGGGTAAAATAAACCCAAACTCTTTTCCCTTCTTCCCTCCCTCCCTCCCTCCCTTCCTCCCTCAACCTTTGCCTGTTCCCAGGGCCAGGCCTCCTGGGGGATTAGCCGGGCCTATTTGAGAATAGAGCTGACCCAGTCAGGGTCCATCCCAGGGAGCTGCTCTGGAAAAACCATCTCCTCAGCGTCTCCTGGGCAGGGAGGAGTGGGGCGTCAGTGGGGGTGTCAGTGGTGAACACAGTGCTCCCGGACAGCAAAGCCATTGGCTACAGCGAGGAGACCACTTGATTAAGAGTCAGAAGAGCTGCAAGCTGGTTTCCAGGCCTTACACTGCGTGGGTGGTCCAGGCAAGCCTCTTCTCCTCTCTTGGCGTCAGTTTACCCATCAGTCAACTTGGACAATTGACATTTCTCATCCTGTCCTGCTCCGACAGCTGGTAAGTTCATTCCAAGGTGGGAAAGACGGTCAAGATGGAGACCATGGGTGCTGGGCCTGTCCACCTAGAAGCCTTCTGAGTCCTGGCTACCCCGTCTAGGGCAGATTCCAGGGCTGAGAGGAGGAGAGGTTTGTAGTGGGGGAAGGGGGGCTTCACAGGTCTATAGTAGGAGGAAGACAATGCGGGAAGGTGTAGACAGGACAGGTGGAACAAGGTATCCAGAATGTACAGCGAGCCCAAAACGCTCTGGCTTTTGAGGTACGTACAGGACCCCCTGACTAGATGACCCTCCCCATACCAGGGTCCACTCATGCTCTGCAGACGCATGACCCTCCATGCTTCCCCCTGCCGTGAACAGCTGAGTCTTGGCCTCCTCATCCATAAAATGGGTGTAGACACATCACCTCACAGCAGAGTCGTGAGGGCTGAACGGGCTGACTTACGGAGAGTGGCTAACACAGGTAATTTTCTCAGCAAGGCAAGAAGGCAGCACCAGGCCGTAGTGTCGGCAGGGGAAAGAGTAGGGGAGTGCAAAATTCTGGAATCCTCTCTGTGCAGCCAGTCATGCTACACCCTACAGGTGCCAGATTTGGGGGCCCTTACAGGTACACGGTGAAACACTTTTATCTGGCAGGTGGCTCTGTCACAGTGAGTCTAAATAACCTCAGGGCCTAGCCCTCAACCCCTCTCCCCTTTGCCTCTTGTTCCTACTTCTCTCCTTCCAAGACCCCATCCCGGGT